ATCCAACAGAGGGTGGTTGTATGTACTACGCCGTCACTCGATCACGCCCCCTTTTGCTTTTCAGTCGCCGCTTGCTGTTTGAGCTCGGTCGCGCAACTCAAACAAACGGGCATCCACTTGGAGGCTGCGCACTTGGTGGCAGCGTCGGCTGTTTTGCAATGGGAGCAGGTCGGTACGGACGTGGTCTCGGCGTGCGACGCGACCGGAGATGGTGTTGTTGGCGCGTATTTATCGAATTTGGCCATGAGCGCGCGCTCGTTCTCTTCCTTGAACATCGCGACGCGCTGGCGCTGCGCTTCCCACGCCTCGGCGTCTCGCTTCTTCTTGGCATCGCGGTCGGAGGCCACGCGGGCCTGCAGATCGTTGTAGTCGGCTTCAACTCGCCGGAGGATCCATGTAAGGCCCGTCTCAAGTGCGTCGTCGACGCGCCCTGCGTTGGCACCCGCCTTGGCGACGCATTCCAGCACCTTCTTGTTGTTGTACATGCCGACTTGGAGGTCGCGGCAAAACTGTTTCTCGTTCACGGCGCCCGGCAAGTCTTTTTTGTTGGCAAATCTACGCGTTGAGTTTTGAGTTCGAGTGGACCGCATCAAAGTGTGAGCATTAGTACATGAGCAGTGGTTTGCCGACAAGAAGGGGGTGCTCCATGGCCTGCGAGAGGATCGTGGCGGCTTCCGCGAATCGCGCCGGTGCTGCCGCGTCAACGACGTAAATGACGGCGTGCGCCTAGGTCGTTTTCAGTCGACAATCGAAAGGACAAGTTGTACATCAGCATAGTATTCCTTCCAGACCGCCCGAAACGTGGGCCCGCCGCCCAAGTCGACAAACATTGCGAGACCATTGGCCATTTGAAACTTGACGGACGTATAGCCGGCACTGGGTCCGTGCTCCTTCTCCAGGTCTATACTACCTGAGAAGAGTGACGCGCGAGAGCACCGGGCGTACCGCCTTGGAGCGTCGAGAGCAAGGTCGACTTGCCCGCGCCGTCAATACCGAGGAGGAGGATCACAGGCTCCATGGCCCGGGGCGTGGTCGGACGCGGCGTCTTGGTCGTCGCAGGCTCGACCTCGGGCTCAGCGTTGGGCCGGCGCAGTAGGATCGGATGGATGTGCTCCTCGACCTTGTTGTTGTCATACCGAATTGTGTATGTGGTCGACGCAGCGTCGTAGGCTTCGATGACCGCAGGTACAAACTTGGGGCGGCCTTTGAAGCGACACTCGACAGCGTCCCCGATCGCATACACTTCATGCGCAATCGCGAGCGATGAAAGCCCATTGGACTCGAGGTCACGAATGTCATTGTTGTTGTTGCTTCCATGTGCCATGCTGCGCGTGTGAGCGACCGATACCAAGTAGGCTAGTCAGTAGCCATAGCAACACACATGTGGCAGAGACGTGAACGTACCGCGCACGTCATTCGGCTTTTCTTGCATGATGCGCTGTGTCAGGTCCTCCATGATAGGTAGCACGCTCGACGACATGAAGGTAACCATGCGCTGACGGCGTGCTGTCACCGACTTGTTGGCCTCGCTCAGGTGCTTCATACGTCCGAGGCCCCCCGCGCCATTTTCCAAGTAGCTCGCCATGAACTCGTACACGTTACTGGGCTGGTACAACAGCAAGGTCTCGATGAGCGGCATCAAGAGCGGATCCACACGCGTCCGGAGGTACTCGTGCTCCGCATCGAGCTGTGCGCGGGCTACGACATGTAAGATCTCAGTTGCGAGCGCATCGTCACCACGGCAGATGCACCTGCCACCGACGCCATCCTGCGGGAAATGGCGGTAAAGCCACTCACCGGACGGGCTAAAAATAGCTGACCAATCATCGCGCCGAATTGGCAATCTTCGAGGGGCACGCAAAACCGCACCGATTTCGTTTTCACACCTCGACCGCCTCGAGACGGGAACGGCCGATGCAGTACTGCGTACGTCACGGTCGCAGATGTACGACAATATTGCACCGCGTTCCGCCTCAACGAGAAACACGTTGTATCCGAAATTGACGCGATTGCAAGTCCTGAGGACGCTCGCGTGGAGCCGACAGGCTGGTCGGAATGCGGGTGCGTCTCTGCGATTCAGTGCATCTTTCAGTGTAGTAGGTGCGTCATTGAACGTTACGGAAGCGCACCTGTCGAGTGGGCGAAACGAAGATGGCGACCGAAGCCAAGCGCGGCATCGTCGGCGTCCGCGGCACTTGGATGGTGCGTGGTGTCCTTGATGGCATATGTGATATATATCAGTTACTCTCTCTCTAGTGGCGGGACCGTGATGTCGTCATCAGCAAGACTGGCGACCTCTTTGTCTATCGCAAAGGCACGAGCACCCTCAAGCTCAAGGTGCCTTGCTCGTATCTCGATGGCGGCTTGACCCGTAGTGTTAGATTCATCTGTGGGACCCGGCCGTGCAGATCACGTTCCACGCCGACGACACCCTGCTTCAGATCAAGACGCGCAGCGACGACGTCCTCTTCGACTGCAAAGAGACTAGCCACCGTGACGCATGGCTCGCCGCCATTTACACCGTGCAGGCCGCGGCACCGCCAGTGCGATCGTCCTCAGCGCCCGGTGTCGTAGCGCTTGACGACTCGGACGACTCGGACGACGGCGACTTTGAGATTTACGCTGATGAGACCGAGACACTTGCGGCCTTTCAGAACGTGCGCCGCTCGATCACGTGCGATCTCGGCGTCGACGCCAGCGATGGCAACGACACGGCGACGTTGAACGAGGCGGAGAAAGCCAAGCACTGGAACGCTTTGGCCGCCTTTATCGAACACGTCGACGGCGCTGGGCGCAGTGTGCTCTTGCACTGGGATGTTCTTCTCACACTTCCGGTCGGCCTCTCGATGGCCAACCTCTTGACGGCGCTTGGCGAACGTAATCGACCGGCGACGTCTCCTACGGCCGCGCCACAAGCTCGACCGCGCAAGACGTCGGCGTCGCAAAAGACACTGGTGACCGCATTTGTGCGAGACCTCCTCTTCCACCCGACGTACGGCCACCGACTCGGGAAGGATGCGACCATGGCGGCCAACGTCCACCTCATTGACAAGTACTTTCCGCATTGCCGCCTTCGCCGGTTCAGCAACTTGGACGATAAGGACCTGCCCGTCGTCGTCGCGGCCCATCAACTCGTTGAGCCGTCACCGCCGCCTACCATTAGCGTTCGGCTCATGCCCCAGCGCGGGAACCGGCACATTCTTCTGTCAGACAAGGCTATAGCACCAGCCTCGACGCCGCCGCCACCGCGTGGCAGCTCGCCGCTCGCGACGCTTCAAACACTGCGCTCTGTCTTGGAGAATCACCGCCTCACGCCCGAGGCCTTTGCGGAGCAGTGTACGCTTTTTCACCGATCGCAGCTCGGCAAAGTTCCGCTACCGACTTTTCTCGGGCCTGCCACGGACGAGCAAAAGGCCATTTCGGACCACTTCAACAAACTCACCGCCTATCTGGTGTGGTCGGTCATTGCTGAAGAGAGTCCGCTCGAACGCGCGCAGGCCATCGAGACCATCACGGCGATCGCGGTTGCCGCCAACGGCCACGACCTCAACAACTTTCACCTTGTCATGGCGAGCATCGGGTGCCTCGGTGACACGCCGCTCATGCCATCGCGCCTGCCTGCCACGTGGAAGCGCGTGCGCGCCAAGTGCAAAGCCCAGCTCTTTGAATTACGGTCGCTCTGCGACCACAATGGCGGCTTTGAGACGCTTCGGAAGAAGCAGTTGCTCATGAGCGGGACCGCCGCGACATTGCCGTTTTTAGGTGTCGTCGGCGCGGCACTGGAGCGGCTGCGCACCACGCCGCTCTTCACTGGCGGGCGCATCGACGTCGAGAAGCTCACACGGCAGTACGATGCCCTTTGCGTCGTCGAGAATGCCCTCGAGCGCAGCTATGTATTCGAGCCCCACGCTAGCATCCAGGCGTTTCTGCAAGGACTGCCGCCACCGATGGACGGGCTCCAGTCCCGGTCGCTCGCCCTTCAAAGCATCGAAGCCTCGTACGGGTCAACCTCCACTTTTCGTGTCGCATCGTTTGGTGACGGACCCCCGCGGTGGTCGTCGACGTCGTCCGAGGCGAGCCGCGTCGTGCCCTTCAAGTATGCGTGCGCGCTTCAGCGCACGGTCCCGGACGCCAAGGACCGCCTCGCTCTCTACATGGAGCTGCTGCTCGTGTCGGACAAGACGCCTGTGCTGAAGCTTGTCCAGAGCCTCTTGCGCGATGTCCACGAGTCACTATTTCGCACGTCGACGCAAGCGACGTGCGACCTCCTCGTCGCGCGCTGGGACGGACTCGTGACGGCGATGGTGACGTACTGTCTACCAGAGATCGTCGACGTCGTCGGACCTGACGGCGCACTCGAGCCACTGCTCTACGAGAGTGTAATCCGCGCTGTCTTTCCCGCGTTTGCGCGCGGTGTCTACTGCAAAGTGGTCGCCGAGCATACGACGACGAGCATAGAAAGGAGGATGCGCGATCCCTCGATACAACTGCACCCGCTGGACGCGTTGGTCGCACCGACAAGTCCTATCCATGCACTGCAGCTCATTGCCGATGTGCTTGCAACGTTGCCGACGGCAGCAGCCGAGTACGAGTTTCAAAAGGTGCTCCACACAAGCCGTGTACCAAACCCACGCGCATTGCGGGTCTTCATGGCGGCGTCGCTCGACCCGACCAAGCTCCGAGACACACTGCGGCATGCGCTGGCCGTATACACACGTTGCATTGTCGACTTGGCAGAATGAGTAGGACAAGAGTACCGTCGTACGGTGCTGCTTGCACCGATACCCGAGCTCTTTTGATTGCAAATTTCATATGTAGAAGAAGGAATGTCCTTTGCACGCATCATTATTTTGTACATGGCCAATCAATGACCGATGTATCGGATTTTTGGACCAATCAAAATTTGCCACTCAGCATCCCAAGGAAGCAGCCTGTGCTTTGGGGTGAAAGGCTTCCGCGCTACCTCGGTACTAGTACTTGATGACATGGTGCCATTTACGAATCGGCCGCCATGCTCATATTCCGATCCATTTCCAAGAGCTTTGTCTCGGTGCAGCGCGAAGGCGTCGGTGCGACGGTCCGCCTGTCCATGGTCAACCGATGCTGCGTCGCCTCTCGACCCGTTCTTGATGCTCGACGAGTTCCACGTGCAGCTCCCCGGCAGGTTTCCCGACCACCCGCACCGCGGCTTTGAGACCATCACGTACCTCGTACCGCACTCGCCCGGCATGATGCTCCACGAAGACTTTAGCGGCCACCACGGCGAGCTCGCGCCAGCGCCCTCCAGTCGATGTGTCCCGCCCGCGGTATTGTCCACTCGGAGATGCCTGCGAGCTGCAACAAGCCTGCGATTGGACTCCACTTCTGGCTCAATTTGCCCAAGTTGCTCAAGATGACCGAGCCGAAATACCAGGAGATTCCGGCCAAAGGGCTCCCGCGAGTCAAGCAGGGAACATTGAGGTGATCGTGATCGCGGGCCAAGCCATGGGCGCGACCGCCAACGTCTTTACCAACGTCCCGATCACGTACGTCCACTTTATCTTTTCCGGCGCAGCGTCGCACTCGCATGCACTGCCGAAGGACCACAATGCGTTCGTGTATATCATCTCGGGCGAAGGCTCCATAGGTGGCAGCCGCGTCGAGCCGCACTCGGTGGGTTTGCTCTCGGCTGACGGCAACGAAGACGGCGTCACGCTCGAGACCACGGGCGAAATGCAGTGCGTCGGGCTCAGCGGCAAGCCCATCAACGAGCCCATCAACAGCAGTACGGTCCACTTGCCATGACGACGCGCGGACCTTCAAGCAACGATCCAAGACGACAACTTTGGATAACGGCTTTGAGAACGCACCGGACTGGAGCTCGTCGATTGGTGAACTCGCGCTCAAGTCAATGCCACCGACGACGTGACCAAATGTTGTGTTGTCAGCACAATTTTTCCTTCGTAATTGCATGTTTACGTCCTGTTGCCAGAGTTAACGTAAACACGCAATTTGGTCGAAATTCATACACTTCTTCTTGGACTAATGCAATGTCTTTCTACATTGCAGCGTGCTCCAACTTTGCTGTGTCACGTACGCCTCATGGCGCACACCCACATCAACCGTTCATGTGCACACGGCGGTCGATCACAGAACGTAGTCGATCTGTGGCCCATGCATACGCACGCAAGAAGACCTCGGTTGCTATCATGCTCTGAAGCTCTGCGCTTGGATTGCAGCGTGGCCCACCTTGGCCAGAGACGACGTCGACGGCGCGTGTCCCTCGGGGACGAAGACGGACGCTGCGTCGGTGCTATAGCACCAGCCCTTGCCGCCCACGCCCGACGCCCGCCCCGCGCAGTCGCCTGTGCAACGATGATGGCGGGCCGGAAGCGACCCATGCTTGGCGTCACGGCGTCAGTGGCCCTGGGGCGGGCGAGGCGCTGCCATGTGGCGTGCGTCGGCCAAGACGAGAATGTATGTTGACTGAAAACCTCTCAAAACGAATCCCTTCACAACCGATTGATCTATCTTCCTCACACTTTCGAGGCGAAGCAACATGAGCATGAAGCCAGCGGTCGTGATCGATAATGGCACGGGGTACGAGGCAGCCTCGGCGCGAGCGTCGCCGCCTCATGCGCCCATGTAGGTTCACCAAGATGGGCTACGCCGGCAACGCCGAGCCGAGCTACATCATCCCGTCGACGATTGCCGTGCAGTCCAACACGACGTCGAGCCGTGTGGGTCAGAGCCAAGGCATTGACGACCTGGACTTCCACATCGGCAACCAGGCCTTTGAGAACGCGTCGACGCACCAGCTCAACTACCCGATCAAGCAGGGTATCATTGACAACTGGGACAACATGGAGAAGATGTGGCAGCGCTGCTTGTTCCAGCACCTTCGCTGCGAGCCCGAAGAGCACTACATGCTTTTGGTACGACACACATCGACGCTACCGCTCATGTGGCTCATGTGGCATAGACCGAGCCGCCGCTCAACCCGCCCGAGAACCGCGAGGCGACGGCCGAAATCATGTTTGAGACGTTCAACGTGCCTGGCTTGTACATCGCGGTGCAGGCCGTCCTCGCTTTATATGCGTCCTGGCCCAAGATCAAGGTAGCCCTCGACGTGACTCGCACTAGCCTCATTGACGTATCGGTGTAGGATCCTTCGATGCGCTCGCTGACGGGGACGGTCATCGACTCGGGCGACGGTGTCACGCACGTCATTCCGGTCGCGGACGGCTACGTCATTGGCAGCTGCATCAGCCACGTGCCCCTTGCCGGTCGCGACATTACGTCGTTCATCCAGCGTATGATGCGCGATCGCGGCGAGCCCGTGCCGCCGGAGGAGTCGCTCGAGGTCGCGCGGAAGGTCAAGGAAATGCACAGCTACGTGTGCCCGGACATTGTCAAGGAGTTTAAGAAGTACGATGCGAACCCAGCCAAGTACGTCGTGCCGTACGCCGACGTGCACCCGCGCACGAAGCAACCGTGGTCCATCGATGTGGGCTACGAACGGTTCTTGGCGCCCGAGATCTTCTTCAACCCCGAGATCTTCTCGTCCGACTTTACCGTGCCGCTGCCCAACGTCGTCGACGACGCGATTCTCAAGTGCCCGATCGATTGTCGCCGTGGGCTCTACAAGAACATTGTGCTCAGCGGCGGCTCGACCATGTTCAAGGACTTTGGCCGCCGGCTCCAACGCGACATCAAGCGCCTTGCCGACGACCGCCAGCAAGCCAACCTCGCGCTCCACTCCAAGTACGCCAAGCAGTCGGCCGAGGAGCTCGAAGTCAACGTCATCTCGCACCGCATGCAGCGCTTCGCCGTGTGGTTTGGCGGCTCCATGGTGGCCTCGACGCCCGAGTTCCACCGCGTGTGCCACACCAAGGCCCAGTACGAAGAGGAAGGGCCTCGGATCGCGCGTCACAACCCTGTGTTTGCTGCGACCATGTAAGTCGAGAATACCCTGTTGACACGTATACGACACCCCCAATACGACGGCGCTGTCTGTCCACTTGTTTCTGATGGGCGTTTATGGCACTACGATCTTAGTTGCGCTTCAACGCTTGTTGGAACAGCTGCAAGCAGGCGAGGCACATTTCGCTGCAAACCATCATGCTCTCTATCCAGACCGTCTCACGTGTGCGTACGCTTTGCCTGTGCTGTGGTGGCAACCCTAGCCCTCATGCTGCCCCGTCTACCATTCTAAATCGAGGCGTCGCACAGGAATTCCATGAGCGCAGTCCATGAAGAAGCCTAGTCACGCAAAACCTAGCCGCAGATGGTCACGTTGTTCTTGATGAGCGGGAGACCGTTGCCACCGGCGACGCGGTAGCACGACGTTTGCGGGAAGAGCGCCATGACGTTGGTCACGATCGAAAACACAAGGGCAAAGGAAAACACAGCGAGCACGGCGATGGCCGCGGGGGTGCTCGAGCCGCCTTTGCGCTTGAGCTTTTGGACAGCAGCCTTTTGAGGCGGCAGTAGCGGTAGAAACGCAAACGAGAGCATCTTGAACCCATAGGCAATCGCATACGAATAGGTGACTTGCAGGCGGACATCGTACGTGTCGTTGGCCAAGTCCTTGGGCCTCAGCGTCAAGTACGAGCCCAGGAGCTTGTAGAAGACAGTGGAAAACGGCGTCGCGAGGTTGACGATCGTCGTGACGAGGCCAAAGACAACGCCTTCGTTGCCAATGTCGGCGATCTCGACTGCGCAGTAGCCCGAGACAATGAAGCGGATGCCGGCCGGGAGGCTGTCGGGCAGCAGCGTCGTCGAGAAAAAGTACTCTTCCCGGACCACATTCCACGTTGTGAGCATGAGGATCGTGCCGTCAATGGTCATGACACCGATCGTCGCCAGCGCAATCGTGGTGCGCCAGTTCCAGTTGAGGCCATACCGCCCACAAATGTAAATGGCCACCGACGTGAGCAGCGCGTTGGCAACCGCAAAGAGCGACTTTGTGAGCGGCCGCACAGTCGCCCAGAGACTCGGGATGATGGGGGTTGCTGTCGAGTCGAAATTGTAAAAAAAGTTGCTCAAAAAGCGAAATGCGCAGATTTGCCACATGACGCGCAGTCGCAGTAGGTTCCATAGGTTCCAGAGGTAGCTGCGAACGTATGGCTTGACGCCGCGGTCTTCGACGATGAGGAAGAGCGTCGCCCAGATTGCGAGTGCGCACGGTGCAATCAGAACCGCAAATATCACGTTGGGCCCAATGGACCACGTAAAGCTGCCGTCGTACTCCGGTCCGTTCATGCAAATACCCACAATGAGCAGCGGCAGCATGCTAAACGCGTACCGCACCGCGTAAATCGCTGATTGGAGTCGCCCTCGGATGTGGATCGGCTCACGGTGCGCGTACTCGACCACCATGGCGTCGGCGGCGACGTCGGCGAGCATGTAGCCAAAGCTGCCGAGCGACGAGAGGAGGATCCAGTAGTTGGCTTCGCCCGCCGCATCCACGTTCACGAGCTGCTTTTGCTCGGCCGTCAAGTTGGAGAGGTCGCCACCGCGCACCTTGCTGATCGCGGCAGCCGAGAGACGAAGGCTTTTGCCGAGGTACGGCTCGGGAAACGGCGCAAACGCCATGAGGCACATGCACGCGAGGCAGATGCTCCACCCGATGAGCATGTACGGCCGGCGCTTGTAGCCGCCGATGGGGAAGCAGTCGGAGAGCATGCCGAGGAAGACCTTGAACGACCAGCAGATCGTGATGAGCACCGAGTAGGACGCGGCTTCGTAGCCAGCAAAGTTCATGTACTTGACGTACACGGGGTACACGAGCGCGGGGAGGCAGCCGTAGACAACGCCGACGGCCGCATACTGGGCGAGGAGCCCGATGGCCTCCTTGGAGTAAAGCTCAAGCGCGCCGCCTTCGCGGATCGCACCGCCAAGGTACAAGTCGTCGCCGTCGCCGCCATAATGAGGGTCGCCGATCGTCTTGGGCGCCTGCATGTACGCATCGGGCGAGTTCACGATCGTCGTGTGGCGCGTGAGCAGCTCGGCCTCGTCAAAGAGCCACACGCCCTTGTCGGCCTCGTGCGGCTGCTGCATACTGCGAAAAAATATGTTCCCAAGAGCGCCACGACGCGGGAAAACCGCTTTCTGGGAAAGGCCGTATCTTGCGAAGAATAGAAGATTTCGTAGAGAGGTGGGTGGCGAGTTGCATGCTACTAGCCACAAAGTGAATGCTTTTGAGGACACAGGCGACACGCTTTCTGCAGTGCGTGAATGGCCAGAGCGCCGTGTTGGCTCATGCGAATCAACGTCCGATCCACTTGTATCTATCTATCTATCTATCTATCTATCTATCTATCTATCTATCTATCTATCGACGCACCTATCTATCCCTATTCCTACCAACCTACTAGTACCACGGTATCACAAAAAGTAGGAAACCCACAACGACCACGCGCGATTCGCAGTCTTGTGTCATTGTCGATTTACTGAACATTTATGACTTGAAGGACAGACGAACGCGATGAAACACACAGAGGACGGCGGGCACTCGACGTCCAAGTTGATAATTGAATGCTGAGATTACTTAGACATGGGACAGAGAGGCTAGACGTCTTAGCCGCAGATCGTCACGTTGCCTTGAATGGTCGGCTGTCCGTTGCCGCCCGCAACGCGATAGCACGAGGTTTGCGGGAAGAGCGCCATAAAGTTGGTCACGACCGAGAAAAGCAGCGCGACAAAGAAGGAAACAACGACGGCCGTGGCTGCGTGCGAGTTGGCGCCACCCGTGCGCTTGAGTTTTTGGACCGCCGCTTTTTGCGGCGGGAGCAACCCGAGAAAGAGCAACGACGCAAACTTGAAGCCGTACGAGATGATGAACGCGTAGGTCACTTGCCAGCGCACGTGGGTCGAGTCTTTTGCGAGATCGTTGTTGGAGAGGTCGAGGTACGAGTCAATGAGCTTGTAACACGCAGTGGAAAACGGTGTCGCGAGGTTGACGATCGTCGTGACGAGGCCAAAGACGACGCCTTCGTTGCCAATGTCGGCGATCTCGACCGCGCAGTAGCCCGAGACAATGAAGCGGATGCCGGCCGGGAGGCTGTATGCCAGCTGCGAGATCGTAAAGAAATACTCGTTTCGGACTACATTCCACGTTGTGATAAAGATGACGGCGGCGTCAATGACCAAGACACCGATGGTCGCGAGCGCGATCGAGACGCGCCAGTCCCAGTTGAGGCCGTACCGCCCACAAACGTAAATCGCCACCGACGTGAGCAGCGCATTCAACACCGCCGTGATGGACTTTGTGATCGGCTGGACGTTGGCCCAGAGACTCGGGATGATGAGCGTCACGGTCGTATCAAACGAGTAGAAGAAATTGCTCAAAAAACGAAACGCGCAGATTTGCCACATGACGCGCAGTCGCAACAAATTCCAAAGACTTTGGAGGTAGCTGCGAAAGTATGGCTTGACATCGCGGTCTTCGACAATGAGAAACATGCAGCACCACATGGCCAGCACGCACGGAAGAGCGAGCACGGCAAAGACGAGGTTTGGGCTCATCGACCAGTTGAAATTACCGTCGTACTGCGGTCCGTTCATGCAAAAGCCAATGAGCAGGAGCGGGATCATGCTGCACGCATAGCGCACCGAGTAGATTGCCGACTGCAGTCGACCGCGGATCGCAATCGGCTCGCGCTGAGCGTACTGGACGACCATGGCGTCGGCGGCGACGTCGGCGAGCATGTAGCCAAAGCTGCCGAGGGTCGAGAGAAGGATCCAGTAGTTGCCTTGGTTGGGCGCGTCGACGTTGATCGACTTTTGCATGTCTTTGGACAAAACCGAGAGGTCGCCGCCGCGGACGCGCGCAATGATGCGCGGGTTCATGCCGGCGAGGGCAGAACCAATGTACGGGTCCGGGAACGGGTTGAGCGCCATGAGGACGACGCTCACGAGACACATGCTCCACCCGAGAAGCATATACGGCTTGCGCTTGTAGCCGCCGATGGGGAAGCAATCGGTGAGCATACCAAGAAAGACCTTGAACGACCAGCAGAGCGTGACGAGCACTTTGTATGACGACGCTTGAAAGCCCGAAAAGTTGAGGTACTTGACGTAGAGCGGGTAGAGGAGGCCGGGCAGGCAGCCATAGATGATGCCAACCGCCGCGTACTGCCCGAGGAGCCCGATGGCTTCGCGGCTCATGAGATCGAGCGCACCGCCTTCTCGCAGCGCGTCACCATCGTAGTACGGGTCGTCGTCGTCATAGAGGGCATCGTCGGCGATGAGCTTGGATGCATGGAGGTACGACTGCGTATCGAGGGCGGTGAGGTTGCTCGACTCTTTCGGGTACAAATCAGCCTCGTCAAAGAGCCAAATCTTGGCCGGTGCTGCCATCGTCGTTTGCAGCTGCGTTGTCTATGGCAAAATGCCTTTACAGAGCGCCAGTGGAGTCGATACGAGTCGGATCATACAAAACACCTATGTTCTTGGTATCGCAGCCGTACATTCGATCGCGACACGTGGTGGTGCCACGTGGTGTCGCTTGCTCTCCCAACCAGCTAAAGCTCCAGCTAAACCGTTATCAACGCTTTCCCTTTTTCCTATTGAGGCACCCAACAAGTAGCACGGGTCCTATGTACAAGACCCATCGAGCAAGCGGGGTGCTGACCGTGGTCGGTCTTCGGTTGAAGCAACCGACTTGCTGTCTCAATTGATGACGACGTGCGGCATGACGAGGAGCGTCCCAGCTGCGTCTACACCGGGTTCGCCGCAAGAGGCAAGGACGCGAATGGAGGTGTTGAAGGTGATTGGGATGTAATGGCAACGTTGCCCTTCTCTTTAACTCGCACAAGTAGCCAAGTTGTCACTGCTCCGAAGCGGAGCCCCCGAGACGCGCGGCTCGAGCGAGAGAGCCGCAGTGCAAGTCCAGGTGCAATTTAGCGTGCGACAACATGTGACGTGTCCATATTTAATCCCAGGTCCTTTGAACGTTCGCTTTCTTGTTGCTATTTGCTTGCCTGGTGGTCTGGTCTTGGTCTGGGGTAATCATGTCATAGCTATTTTGCTAATACCGCGCATGTGAGCGATGTGAGGCAGCTGCTGGGTGTAGTCTGAGAATGAGATGCGTGCTTGCTTGTCAAGCCCGAGCCCCTTCTAGCATCTTCACAAGACCTCTTGAGCCCGTCGTACGCAGTCGTTGCACACAGCTTGCGTTTCGACGAGCGCTCGCAGAGGCGTGTGGGTTGATGGTTACGCGTTGTTACCTTGTGACGCACTCGTTTCTGGCACCGTACCAGACCAAATGATCTGGTCTGGTACGGTGCCACTACTCGTGCCGTACTCGCATGAAGTTTCTCGCATCTTGACGGCATCAACCGCCGGTGCGTGAGCTCTCTGGCAGTCGTCCTCGCATCGTTTGACCTTGTGAAGAACACCAAGCGACACCGCGTTGTCGGTCGCTTCGACAAGAGAGCACCGTGTCAGCGCTCAGGTTGGCCACAACCATGACAACCACCACACTGCAGATTAGTGTTGACCGACACAGTTCTTAGCGTATTCGTAAGAGGCGCTGCTTATGCAAGCGGCGCATCGTCGTCGTACTCGTCGTCATCATCGTCAATCGCAATGACCTCGTGCGCGCCATTCGACACGGCGAGAGGTAGGAGCGAAATGGTTCGCGGCTGAAATGCCTCGGCCATCGACGACGCCCGCGTCGATGCGCGGGCCGACTGCCGCGTCGGTGCTTTCTTGGGCGACGACGGGCGCACGCGGCGGCGTGTGTCAAGCACCCCAAACACGTTCTTCGGGCGCGTCTTGTCGCGCACACGCCAGCTTTCGTATGCGAGCGTCGCCATTTCGATCACGTCATCGGGCGAAATCGCGAGTTGCTGCGCGAGATGCTGGAACGCGAGCACCGAGTCCATGACGAGCTGGGATCGCTACACCAACGACGTTCGTCCAGTGTATCGTTGCAGCAGATAGATAGCTACCTCGGCTTCCATGGACGCTGGCGAGAGGCCGCGAAGCGAGAGCTCCGTGTGGAGGTGGATTGTGATGCAGTTTTGCACAAAAGCTTTCTAGATCGCGTTCGGATATTGGAAATCCGTCGGAAATGTCACCAGATGTGGTCGTACCGTGGGCTCATACGGCGTCGTGACGGGCACGGCGTGCTGGTTGGTCAGCGTCAGCGTCAAGTCGCACGCAAAAAGCGCGACGGTCAGTAGCTGGGCGCTAAACTCAATGCCCTCGACCGTAAGAACGCGGCCCCACTGGTTCGCATGCAGCTGCTTGGCTTCAAGCGGCAAATGCGAGTTACCAAAATTGAGCACCAAGACGACGTCGCCAACGTGGAGCTTGCTCCGGAGGCTCGGCGAGACTGTGCGGAGCGTGCTATGGTGGCCGCAGCAGCCGTGGTGTCCCACCAGCGCTGTAAAGGACGGGGACTTGGTCGAGTGACACGCCTTGTGCAGCGCGGTGGGGCATTGGTAGCAGTGGAGCGCGTCGGCTTGGGCAAGCCCCTGCTTCTTGCAGACGCTGCATGCGTGGCGCGGACACACAAATAGCGACGGGTCCTGGCCTTTGCTCATGCACCTATCGCACCATCAGGCAGCATAAGACGAGGCATTGATGCAGCGACGAACCGCTGGTGGGCGTAGACGCCGCAGCCGGAGATCGAGCACTTGAACGAGTCCATGTCGTCGTCGCCGACCATGTCGCACTTGAAGCACATGTGGATGCCCCGGAAACACTCGGCGCACTTCCAGCTCCGGCGCTGGGCGACGTACGGGCGGTGGACGAGCGACGCGCTCTCGCCAATGCACGCAATGTGGAACGACCGCGTGCATGAGCCCGAGCATGAGAGAAGCTGACGGCCGCCTTGGCCGCATAGAAAGCAGAGCGGCGTCGAGGCGTCCGTGATCTCGGGCACCTTGGTCTTGGCAGGCGATGGCCGGGTCTTGCTCGACGGTGCGCTTGACGGCGGCGACATCTCCACAACCCGGCGCCGCTTTTGGTGCGCGACCTTCTTCAATGAGCCATTCACGCGCTCGCATTCTTCTTCATGGAGCACGATCTCGAACGGCTTGACATGCTCGTCAAACACCCGCCAGCAGATCGGGCAGTGCTTGGCGTCCACGAAGTGCTCATCGACAGCCGCCGGCCAGGCCTTGAGCGCGCACTGCGTCACGTGGCGGGCGAGGACGAAGGCCGGGTCTACGCGCGGGAAGAGCGCGTGGCAGTACGGGCACGGGACCGTCTCCATCGCCACCTCCAAAAACACTGGTGGCGTCGTCATCCAATTCCGGTTGATGAATTGCATAAAACCATCCAGGTGACACATACAAACAACAAGATAATAATATAGCACTCGCCACCCCAATGCGATCTTGGCGGCGAAGCGGCGCCATGGCCTATGCCACTGCGAGCAGCGCGCAGGGATGACGTCTGTACACGAGCGACGGAGGCTACATGGTCATAGAGTACCATAGCCAAGGCCATGCGCTGCAACATGGGCGCAGTCGCGGCGACGCCACGTTGGCATCAACCCATGTCCGAGACAGTGGTTGGGTTGCTCGAAGACGACGTTGGGCAGGGCGTGCCGAGCGCGGCTGCGTCACGAGCACCCTTGAGAGGAGGAGCTCGCTTGTCGGTGGCGTCAACCAAGTGCGCCTTTATCCAGAGGCTACAACGACACTGTTCGGGTTCATGACGTTGTGCTCGACGATACGAGATTGACACGCAGCACGCCTCATCGGCGTGTCTCTGTCGAGTCTACCGGTAGCATGTGAGCCTACGTGTCGACGACTACAGTGGCACGGCGGTTGAAAGCATAGAATTAGGTGCTTACGAGCAGGTCATAGGAAGGTAGTGCAATGGATCAGTCGTTGCTCGAGGTATCGCTACTTGAGTCCGACATTGGGTCCTCGTCCTGGTCTAGAGCTCGTGCGCGCTCGTCGGGCTGGCGAGGCGGTGGTGCGCCACTGCCATTCGGTCGTGTCTGGTAGTGGCACGCAGCGGGGATGCTCTGGCCGCGATGCTGCATCGCGTCATGGTGCTTTTGCAGCAGCTTCTTGGCGCGCACGATGTCACAGTCGGTCTCTCGGATGGCCATGAGCAGTCCGAGGTTCGTCTTCATGAGCTTCGAGTTGACCGACCGCGCGTTGCTCAGGACGGCCGTGAGGGACTCGTCGGCCATCGGTGCTCGAAGCGGCGGCAAGTTCGGATACACAAAGCTATCCGGATACGACATGGCGTGTATCTCACCCTAATTCACACGACTGTGGACCATGCGGTGTGTGAAAAATGCCTGCAAATCACGTCACACGATCGTGTGGTGGATGGGCGGACGTTGTCGTCTCGACGACGATCGCGCTATTTTTCAATGGAGATGCAAAGCGCGTGTATAACTATAGCACAAGTCAACGAGGTCCATAAATCTACCAAGTCCTTACTTTGATCCTCCGCTCGACGTAGAAAGAACCGAACCTTTGTCGACGAACGCCACGCTATGGACACACTGTAGGACCGTGTCGCACTTGGGATGTTCCGGATAATCCAGTAGACACGTCCACCATGGTGAGATTTAATAAAACCCGCGGTGAGAAAGACCCAAATAATTCGCCAAGACTCGATAAACCGTTATGATTGGGTATGCTTACATTTCATGGAGCTATTCTAGCCAATCAAATCATCCTGTATCGGCGCCTGGATCCGCTTCCGTTCCAGTTCACTTCTTGCCTGCATGACGCACCAACTAAATGACCTTCCTGTACACCACACCTGCATGCGCTTGACTCCACACACGCGACTACGCACCTCCGACCAGGTTGACAAGGCGACGTGATGTGAAAAACGTGAAAAACACCGTGTTGCAGCGGTCGTATCCGGATAATCGCGGCAAGAGTGGAATTTTCCACGCGCATTACTCACCGGTGTCGTGATGTTCGTTTTAAAATCCGGCCTTGCCGAACGTCGGGTCGTTGCATACAAACATCCAGTATAAATAAAAATTGCCCTAAAAAATACGATCCCAGGGCGCAGATGGCGGGGTTCGAATGCGCCATACATTAGGCGGGCGACGTGTATTTCTCATATTTCTTGGTCGCCAGCAGCATGGCCGCGCCGACGCAAGGAGGAGGCCGCCCGCCGTACCAGTACATGGACTCGACGTCGCATGTGCAGGACGACGACATGGCACATGTGCCCGTGTGGCAGGACAGCAGCGCCGAGCACATGTACGGCGACTACGTCAACCCCGGCGGGGTGGCCGTCATGGAGTCGACCGAGCACGCGTCCGTGCGCCCGAGCACGATCCTCGACTCGTCGCGCACGTCGACGGCCGCCGCCATGAAGCCTGACATCAAGGTCGGCGTCAGCGAAGAGGCCAACTCGGAGAAGAAGCACACAGGCCGGAAGCGCGTCTGGCCCGGCTGGCTGCTCCTCTTCCTCGTCTTTGGTGGCGCGGTCTTTGGCATCTTTTGGTTTGGCCGCAAACTCTACTTCAAGGCCCAAGGCCAGCAAACGCTCTCGCAAAAGATCCTCGACCGCACGCCCGCGCCGCCGACGCCCGCCAAAAGTACGTGCGCTCCTTGTGTATATGCCACCTCATCATGTTGTGTGTGTTTTCTAGTTTGCGAGCTGCCCAACTTTGTCGGCGATGGCTTTGGCGGTGTTGTCGCCAAGTACTCGAGCGGTCTCGTCAAGCCGATCGTGATCACGGGCATCAACTGGAGTGGCATGGAGAACGTCGAAGGCGTCCCGCACGGCCTCGCGTTTGGCCAGTCGACGATGGACGCGATTTCTGCCAAGCTCGTCGACCAAGGCGTCACGGCCGTGCGCCTCCCCCTCAACGTGCAAATGATCCTGAGCAACGCGGCGCCCAACGTCAAGGACTTTGTCGACCCGGTCGTGAACGCCGAGTTCAACGTCAACACGTACATGGACATGATCAAGAAGGTGATTGTGGGTCTCGCCAAGCAGCAGATCGCGGTCCTCCTCGACATCCACAAGCTCGACCCGAAGAACCTCAACACGGACGCGTCCGAAGGGCTCTGGTACAGCGCAACGGTCACGGAAGCGCAGACGATCAAGGCCATCACGATGCTCGCGACGACGCTTTGCAACGCCAACTACTACAACGTGATTGGCATCGACTTGAAGAACGAACCGCACAAGGGCTGCTGGCCGGCGTCCGCGACCACCGCGGACCCGTCGTGCCCGACCACCAACAACTGGCAGCAAGGCGCGACGCGCCTCGGGAATGCGATGCTCAAGGCGTGCCCCAAGTGGATGGCCTACGTCGAAGGCACGCTCGAGCAGATCGAGACGGCGTATCCCAACACGAACGGCGGCTCGAAGCTCTCTTACGGCGACTGGTGGGGCGCGTCGCTCAACAACGTGTCGACCAACCCGGTCGTCCTCAGCCTCAAGAACAAGGTGGTGTACGCGCCGCACTTTTACTCGCCGAGCGTGTACCCGGCAGCCTACTACTTTGCGGTCCAAGACGGCGACAAGAGCATTTTTACCGAGTTTCCCAACGACGCCGATGGCAACGCCAAGCTCCAAAGCAACGTCTACGCGGCGCTCGACCGGTCGTTTGGCAAGGCGATGGCGGCCGCCAAGGCGCCAGTGATGTTTGGTGAGTTTGGCGGCATTTACGGCGTCAACGACAAGTGGCCGAGCAAGAGCTCGACGCGGGCGATCGAGGCGTTCGTCGCGTACTCGCAGGACCGCAACATGTCGGGCGGCTTTGCGTGGAGTCTCAACTCGGAGTCGTTCTATGAGTACAACCCGAGCAAAGGCGAGTACATGTATGGGCTCTACACTGACAACACGTGGGCCGCGTACAATGAAGACTACTCGGCCGCGCTTCGCAAGTTTAAGGGGTCGGGCACCATCTTCTGCGTCAAGGTCGATGCGTCGTCGGTCGTCGACGCTGGCGATACGGACACGAGCGGCAGTGCGACCAGTGGCGTCGTGACGGTGCCGCCGACAAGCTCCAAGACGCCGACGCCGACGACGGCCAAGACGACGCTATAAATGGAACCCTACTTGATTTTGATGCAAAGACTTATGGAACGATGGCGGGTCTTATGCTACAGTCTTTAGCCGCTTGACGTCGCGCTCGATGGCATCGCACGCCGCCTAGCAAATCGCATGAGCATGGAAGAGAGAGCGTGGGAGAGATAGAGACCTCGATGTATTGCGTCTTGCGAAGCAGGTCGTCGCGCTTGCGCTCGAGGCCCCAGAGCTTGTCGGCGTTGAGAAGCTGCTCCTGCTTGCGCTTGACGTTGATGACCTCGGTCGCGGCCTTGCTTTCGTCGAGCTCCATGACGCACTTGTCGTGGACGCCGCTGAGGACGCCGACGTGGAGCTTCCAGCGGTCCGCGCCATACTTGTTGAGCATCTCGAGGTTGAGAATCCGAGACGTCTCGTACTCGATCGCGACCTTGGCGTTGGCATTGGCGGTCTGCCACGCCTCGACTTGGGCGTGGAGATCCTGCGACTTCTTGAGGAGCCCCGTCGACGGCGGCACGACGCGGTACTTGTTGGTGTTGATCGCGTCCAGAGCGACGCCTGCAGCCACGCGCTTCATCTCCTTCGTCTCAAGCTCGAGCGCCGGAAGGTACGCGAGGTACGCGCTCGGGTCGAACGGTGGCATCGCCGCCATTTGCTGCTGGATCTGCAGGCTCACGAGCTTCTTCATGTCGGCGTCGTCATTCGCCGTCGAGTCAATGTACCCGAGGCAGTCGATGAGGTGCCGGGTCTCGTTCAGGAGCGGGCAGATCGAGGGCGTCGTCGTGTCGGCCATCTTTCTGTGTGGCGACCAAAGCTTTCGTGCCAACCGGTTACAACGCCATAATCCGAATAACCGATCGGTTGATTGCCGGTTCCGGCAATGTGCTGGCAGCGTCGCTTGCCGGAACACAAAAACCTGCATGTGCTCGTCCAAAGGCGGGAGGGATGGCCGCCGAAAGCCGAACGGTTGAGGTTGCTATCGAAGGTGCATCTCGATCGCAGCTCTCGATCGCATCTGCTTGAAGGTGCGCTTCGTTGCCTCGCACGTACGAGTAGCTAGTACGGCCGTGCGTACCTGCTTGAAGTGAGCTTCGGAGGTTGGCTCAAGATTGCACCAGAGATCGCACCAACGATAGGCAGCGAGCTGCCAGCAAGCACGGCTCGAATCATACATCGCATCTGACCCGCTGGATGCAAGCAGTCGATTGATTTGGGTTCGGTGCGGGTCACCGACCAGCGTCAATGACGCATCCAGTGCATGCGAACCGTGCGGCTGCATCGATCAACCTTACTTCCAACCTTCTGGCGAGTAGCAAAGCGCTTGGAAATGTTGGCTCTTGGCTTCTTGCCGCCGAGGCCCACCGCTCTTCCTTGCTCTCTCGGACCTCGGCCCATTTTGACGGCGCCAGTCATTCTCCAGAGAGGAGACACCCCTGAAAAGGGCCAGGTGGACGAGTATCTCGGTCCAGTCCATACCAACGGGACGAGAAATGCAGCGATGTACACAGGAGATGTGTGCATAGGACCAGCGCTACGATCGTGTATCTTAGGTGCCACGCTTGGAAGAGCTCTTGGAAGACGAGCAATGAACCAGCGATCTGCAATCTGGTCGATGGAAGGACGCAAAGATTCAGGGTGCCAGATCAGACAGGACCGCGGTTCGTGAGTAATTCTAGATTTTTGGCCAATCGGAGCGCGCGCGCCTGGCACGATGACGGCCGGCAAACGCTCTTTTCGGCCGACGCACGATGCTGCCGACCATCGAGATGGTCATCTCGCTGCACATGCACGTGCGCGGCTACCGCGTCCTCGGCAAGACCGCGGTACGTCGTCGGACATCTCTATCTTTGTGCTAAGCAGGCGGCTAGGAATTTGAGATTGCCTGCAAGGCCAAGTGCAGCACGGCGCCGCGGCTCGAGATGACCGCGGTCGAGTGGAGCGTCTTCAAGACCATCGAGGAGTTCCAGCTCCTCGACACGCGTTTGCGCAACGACGCGATCTATGGCAGTCGCATGCGCGACGTGACCTTTGTGCCATTGCACAAGACCAAGGTGTTCTTTGGCCAAGCCATCAAGCCGTCGTTCTTGACAAAGCGCCAAGACGCGCTCGGCAAGTACCTTCGGCAGGTGCTCAGCATCGCAGACATTGCCGACTTTCACTCGGCCACAGGCTCCCAAGTGCTCGCGGACTTTTCACTCATCCACGCCCACGTCGTCTTTGCCCACACCGAATCGACGCACAAAGCGAATCTTCCACTCGACGTCGCCGGCTCCGAGACGTCCAAAGCCGACGACAGCTACGTGGTCGAACCGCATCTCGACAGTCACGATGACTCGGCGCTCGACGACCCTCCGCCGCCGACGACAACGACATCGACGACCATCTCGGCGAGCCGTGAGTCTGCGTCTTCAGACGACGTGGCCGACGACGAGCTTACGCAGGCGCAGCAGGAAGAGCTGCAAGCGCTCATTGTGCAGCGCATCCAGGAACACACGGACGTCGATGTGCTCAAGCAATTTCAAAAGCAAGCACGACGCTTTGGCCGCGCCGCCGCCGACGCAGCGGACGCCGAGGGCCACGCCTTCTATGCGTTCATGCTGCGCGTCTTTGGCCGCGAATTCTGCGCCTGGCTAGTCCCAAGCCTCGCCCAACTGCTTGCAGACCCGATCAAGAAGCGTGCGCTCCGCAATGTACTGCAGGCCCATGACGAGACACCGACCGTGGTGGTGGTTGCCGCGGCGCCCCCACGTCCACGCCCTGCCAGCGAGGCCATTCTCTCGACACCGCCGCCGTTCCCGACGCGGCCACAGCGATCGCGCCCGGCGAGCATGAGTGGGAAAGAGGTTGTCGCCAAAGTCCGCGATCTTGTCGACGGCGACGAAGAGCGCGTGAGCGAGTTCAAGGCCATGACCAAGGAGCTTCGAACGAGCCGCCTCTCGGCGTCCGAGTACTCGGACTATGTGGTCTCAGCGTTTGGTCCGCGCCAGTCGCAAGAAGTGCTGGTCGACGTGGCCAATGCAATGACCAACCCGCACGTTCACGAAGAGCTCACGACTGCAATCGAGGTCGTAGAGCAGCAGTCGGCGCTGTCGTCGCTGCGGGCGACGATGCGCCAGCGCCGCAACAGCCGCCGCATGAGCCTCGAGCGCAACTCGTCGTTCATTAGCCGCCGCTCAAACTTGAGCAGCGTTGAGGTCGAGGAGGAAGACGGCACCGAGTCGGCGGAAGACGTGCCCTCGTCGCACCGCGTGCTGAATCGGCTCAAGCACCAAGGCGCGGTCAACTTGATGAACTTCAAGTAGTATATAATGCACGACCACCATAGCGGCGTAGGAGACAAAAGAATGATGATGTGGATATTGACACAGATGCTTCTTACTTACGGCGCCTTCTTGAACTCGACGACGTTGTACTGACGCACATCAAACGACGTGACGAGGTCGTTGGCCACGTACGGGTCCTTCTTGGCAAAGTCCTCGACGATCGCCGGCGACTCGGCTTCAAAGATGAACGCCGCGCCATCGACCGGATCGGCAAACGCGCCAGCCATGAGCAGCTTGGGCTGGAAGCCCGTGTTGGCGGTCCACTTGCCAATGTGCTCGAGGTGGGCCTTGCGGAACGGGTCGCGCTTGTGCAGCATACCATCCACATAGGTGTAACGCAGCATCCAGAGCGGTCGCATGGTGGGGACGGTCGAGAGCGCTCGGGCTGCCACGCGATGAACGTTCATGGTTCGACCGACGACTTCCTGCGGCTGAAAATGCAAGTCCGCCTGGCCACGTCAGCCCCCACGGCTTCCAATTGGTCCCATCTGCTCCCTATTTTGGCCAATCATATCGCTGTTTTCAGCCAGCTTACGTACCGCACTTAGTCGATTTTGCGTACTTGCTCGGACATGTAGGTTGAATCTGATATTTTTTCTCATCCAATACAAAATACAAGATACATGACTCCAAACAAAAAAATCGTGGGACATGCCCTTGAGCTTCAAGGCTGGGTGCACCTCTTCGGCTGTCCCATGTCCGAAGGGGGCGTGCACGGCCGTCATTAAATAGATGCGTTTGACGCATACCCCCCATTTTAATTCTATTCACATACAAACATCAGGTCAATGATGTATCATAATAAAAACGCAGCATTAAATACACATGCCACGGTGTCGGGTGGGTCTGTCTATTTTGAGGACCCTCATTTAAATCACATTGTCCGACCGGATAGAAATAAAATTCTTGCGGTGCGCACCTCTAGGGATGGATATGCAATAGAATACCATCCGGATAAGTTGGGTCGCATTTAAAAGCGCCCACGGAATCCGTGGCGTGGATTTGACTTGCTGGAGGGAGTCGCGCGCTCAGTTCTCAGTTGCGAATTTGCACTTTGGAAGTCAACCACCATGGCCTTCCTCGCCCGCGCGTCGCGCCGCTTCACGCACTCGTCCGCCACGAAGAAGGCGGCCGCCGAGTACACTGGCGGCTTCAATGTCTTTGACCAAGGCCGCCGCATCCTCGTGACGGGCGGTACCGGCCAGATCGGCATGGAGCTCGTCCCGTTCCTTCGCAACATCCACGGCAAGGACGCGGTCATCAACTCAGACATCAAGATGCCTGGCAAGGGCGAGCAGAAGTCGGGCACGTTCGTCTACTGCGATGTCTTGAACTACGACAGGTACATCTCATCAGGTCTGCTGGCACGGCAAGACTGACGCGTCATGTTGTAGCCTCGCCCGCATCGTGTTGGAGAACGGTATTGACACGATCATCCACAACGCGTCGCTCCTCTCGGCCATCGGCGAGAAGAACCCGCAACTCGCGCTCAAGGTCAACACGCGCGGCCTCGAAAACGTCTTGGAGCTTGCCCGCCTCAACAACCTCCGCGTCTTTGCGCCGTCGACGATCGTACGGCCTTGCTCAATGGTGCCAACAGGATCGCTCACCGTGCTCTCCATCTAGGCGGTCTTTGGCCCGTCAACGCCCAAGGACATGACGCCGGACCTTACCATCATGCGCCCGACGACCATGTACGTGTCGTCATCCTTGCATTTCGAGATGCTTACCTGGCTGCTACATGGGTAGGTACGGTATCACCAAGGTGCACTTGGAACTCCTCGGTGAATACTACCACGAAAAGTACGGCGTGGACTTTCGCTCGATTCGGTACCCCGGTATCATCTCGTCCGAGGCGTGGCCGGGTGGTGGCACCACTGGTATGTGACGACCCATGCGTGATCCGTGCGACACTTACGCACCTTGTGATTAGATTACGCCGTCGAGATCTTCTACGAAGCGCTCAAGACGGGCTCGTACAAGTGCTTCCTTGGCCCTGACGCGTGCCTCCCCATGATGTACATGCCCGACTGCCTCCGCGCGACAAACGAGCTCCTCGAAGCGCCGTCGGACTCGCTCTCGCAGCGCGTCTACAACGTCACGTCGTTCTCGTTCACGCCGGCGCAGCTCGCCGAGTCGATCAAGAAGGTCATTCCCAACTTTACGATCACGTACGAACCGGACTTTCGCCAAGCCATTGCCGACACGTGGCCGCGCTCGATCGACGACAGCGTCGCGCGCAAGGACTGGGGCTGGAAGGAGCAGTTCGAACTCGACGCGATGGTCGAGGACATGCTCATCAACTTGGAGAAGAAGCTCAAGAAGCTCGGCCACTTGTAAGCAAGTAGAATCACCACATCATCATAGTAATACACACATCACACCTCCGCTTGATCTTTTGTCGAACGCCAGCCACTGGATTTTTCGCCGTCGCAGTGCGTGCCAGCGCGGCGCCCGTCATGTCCCCGACAGCTGCAAGCATGTTCCGGTAGAGGTGGCCACCCACAAAGCCAGGCAACTGCCCATGAAGCCTCGAGAATCGTTCTCCAGGAACCTTGCACAGGTGATCTTGTGGGTGCGAAGGTCTCCGATTTCAGCGCGCTCGACGTGCTTTGCAGCGCGTGCGACTGGTGCTGTGGTGGCGACAGTCGCCTGGGCGATCTGAGCACGAAGAGGACGCAGCACGCCTTCCTGGCACTGTAGTAGCTGCACGTTGCTCTTGCGTTGGCTCGTACGCGGCGAACTCTGGTGGGATGGCAGCAGCAAATTATGCTGACGCCTCGCCAGAATGTAGAGCCTATTGACGAGCCCTAGAGACTATTTTTTCGTACTTGAAGTCTTGAAGTGAACGCGTTGGCATGGAGCGGATCAGTTGTCGCGTCAACTGAGTCCAAGATACATTTGTCATGTCCAGTACCAGATGCAACCGCACCAGATTTACCAGACGCGCACCAGACGTTGCCACATTTCACATCTGATGCGCACCAGTCGTGAGTGTTCGATAATCGAACATCCGGATACGGACGACGACGGCAGCTTGTTGTGCGAGATCCCCAAGTGACCGCCCATGAGTACAGGTACACTGCCGACGAGCCCAACTAGATCTTATGGCCGCGCTAGTCAAGGAGTCGACCGAGAAGCCACAGGCGGCGGACTTTACCTTGGATCGGGAGCTCGGCCAAGGCAACTTTTCCAAGGTCTTTCTGGGCACGCACCGCGCGTCTCGCGAGCAGTTTGCCATCAAGGTCATTGAGAAGCAGCGCATCATGCGCCTCAAGATCCGCCACCCCAACATCTTTAACGAAGTCAATATGGAGAAGGCGGTCCTCAACACGCTCCGCCACCCCAACATCATTCGGCTCTACCACACGTACCAAGACGCGACCAACCTGTACTTTCTCATGGAGTACATTGCGAACGGCGAGCTATGGGACGCGCTCACGCTCTGCGGCAAGCAGGTCGGGTGCACCGAAGGCCTCGCCCGCTTCTACGCTGCCGACATTGTCAACGCGCTCGAGTACCTCGCGTCGCAGCACATCGTGCACCGGTACGCCCGATCGTTTTTGCATTTTTGTTTTTCATTGTTATCTCAAAACAACGTTAACGTAGGGACTTGAAGCCGGAAAACATGATCGTGTCCAAGGTCGACGGTCATTTGCGGCTCGTCGACTTTGGTACGGCCAAGAACCTCGCGGACCCGGCGCTGAACGGCCCCAACTTTGTCGGTACACCAGGTAGTCAATTATCCTTGTTAGTCGAGGCATCGATGATGAAGGCGGTGGTGAGTAGAGTACATGTCGCCCGAGACCATCGCCAACCAGTCGGTCGACACGAGCAGTGATCTGTGGGCGCTCGGCTGCATCATATACCAGCTCCTCACGGGAGACACGCCGTTCCAAGGTGGATCGCCGTACTTGTGCTTTCTCAAAGTCCAAGACGGCGTGTACGACGTGCCGTCTTTTCTCTCCGACCCGGCGCGCGACCTCATTGCGGCCCTATTGCAGCCCGACCCGACACGTCGTCTTGGCGCCAATGGCTTTGATGCCCTCAAAAGTCACTTTCTCAAACTCAATAATCGATCGCTCAAACCGAAACGTGTAGCGCACGCCTTCTTTGCCGGCCTCAACTTTGAATCGCACATGACGAGTTCGCCACCTGTTGCCACGCTCGAAGACAAGTTCATTTTCGAATCAGCCAAGCAAGTCCACGCGTACGTGGCGGCGGGCGGTGGCGACGACAAGGTGCCCGCCGTCTTGGCCCAAGCCGTCGCGCTCGCCCACCCGCGCAAGCCGCGCCTCATGCACGTACTCGATCGCATGCAGCTGCTCCAGCACCCCGGTAGACCCTAGTCTCTTCATTTCGTAGTTTGCTGAAACAGCATATCTCTCGCTATAGACGTGTACCTGCGCTTCTTCTCGAGCATCGGCCTCGGCCGGTGTCTGTATGCGACCAAGCGCGGGTACGTCGGCCTCACCCACAGCGTCCAGAACGAGTGGAAGCAGTCGTTCACGTTCGCGCACGTAAGTCCTCGTGCGATGGCTCAACAGCATGCAAGCAGCGTGTAGCTCTCGGGGCCTTCACTGGGCAAAGCTGCGGCGACGGCCGAGATGGATGCGCTCGGCGGCTCCTCCTGGGCGACGGAGCTCGCGCTCTTTACGGACGCGCTTCTCGCCCTCAACGAGACGCTGCCGGCGCTGCTCGTGCTCTCGGGCAACATGACACACGCGTCGCCGTCTCAGAAATTTTACGGTCCGCAGCGCGATGCGTTCCAGGCCAGCCTTGCGACCTTGGACCCGCGCATTCGCTTGGTATGTGAAATCGGTAGAATCGCCTAACGGCCCAGTAGGTGGTGGTGCCGGGGGACCACGCAGCGGCTGACGTGGCGGCGTATACGGCCGACTTTGGCGACGACTATTATGCGCTCTGGTAGCAGCGTGCACAGGACGACGCAGTGTCATCCTCGGCGGTGGATAGGTATGGCGGCATGAAATGCTTGGTTGTCAACTCGTCCTTGTGGCTGCATGCGGCGTCAGAGCACGCTTTGCATGAACGCTACTTGGCCCAAGACGGTAGAATGAAGGCTTGCACAGGAATCGATGCCACGTCCTACGTAGCCTGGCTCAAGAAGGAGCTCGAGCACGGTGCGCTCTGCGCCCAAGTGCTTTGCGTCTTGAGCCATCACCCGCTGTACATTGCCGAGAGCGACGAGCCGACGCTCTTTGCCGAGACGAATTGCAACAACAATGCGCCGGCCGCCCCCTGGAACGTGCCCCGCGAGGTAGCGTCTAGGCCATACCACCCTAATTCCATATCGGTGCTAGGTTCGCCTCCCGCTGCTCGAGCTCGTCGGCACATCCAAAGTCCACGCCGTCTTTAGCAGCCATTATACCACACATGTCCACAACCGGTTTGCGCGCCCTGGCAAGCACAATGGTGGCGACGACGACGACGACGAAGACGGCGCGCCGCAAGGCGGTTGCTGCGACATGGTTGTCACTGCGTCGTTTGCCGAGGGTGAGAAGAGCGCCTACCACCGCGTGCACGTCGAGCAGACAGGTCTCTCGATCACGCGCACGCTTCTCGCAGCGCCGCTGCACGTGTAGCGCAGGTCCATAGATAACCACGACAACCTCCTTGCATGGGCGGTGCAATGACCAACATGCATTACGATCATTGCTACTCGAGCGCATCGTCATGCAGCAGTGCGTACTCGTCCATGAGCGGCGCGAGCTCGACCTCGGGCGTGGACGGCTTCTGGTGCTTCTTCATGACGTTCGAGACGCGCTCGAACTGCGCCTTGCGGACCGCGTTGGCATACTTGAGCGCATCCGTGGCGTCGAGGCGTCGTCGCTGGACAGCGACAAAGACAAAGAGCGTGGCGAGCACGCCAAAGACGACGAGCGCGCTGCGCAGCGCCATGGCCTCGGTGGCCGCGTGCTCGTGCGCGAGCCAGAGCGCGGTCGTGTTGCTGCTGCCGCTGCTCATGCTGGCGTTGGGAAGGATATCGGTTGTGTTGGGAGTTTAAAAACATATTTCGTCGTGAATAACTCGACATTTGTAAGCGGAATAAAACATTTCGAGGCACTGAGCGTGGCTATGGGGAAAAAAGTACAACGACCAACGTTCTGACGTTGCACCAAGATCGCAACACGCAGCTGCGGCTATCCACAAGGTTGCCATGACGCAGCCGGCAGGCCCCACGGCGACGATGGCTAGCGACCATAGTATATATCGTCGCGAGCTATCGTGCTGGCTTTGTACTTGCTTAAGTAATCCTTGCTTGGTATCGTCGCCGAGTTTAGAGCAAACACTCTTCCTCCAAGAAGAACGCGATGACAGCAAATGCGCTGCCAAGTCTTTTGCGCGGGCAGCGCATGATATGGACTCATGGCACTTGGTACTTATATGACGACTTTGGCCGACCGCCCGTGCGTTCGGGCGCATGCTGCATGGTGACCGACGCGATATAGCGAGAAGAACATAACTGTGTTTTTTCAGATAGGATAATAGGGTCTGGGATTGAATAGATAGCAAGGTTTATGTTGCCGCGTGTCGAGGGCCTCGAGTGTTCAGGTGTGCAGATGACTATGGTCGTAAAATTGTTTGGTGCATGCGTTGCGGGCGTGGGCGCCGTTGTTGCCGACTTGCGACGCGCCGACGCCGACCGACTCGGAGCTGAGCACAAAGTGGCCGTTGTTGCGCCGGAACTGCGAGTTGCCCGTTCGGAGCGTGTAAAAGGTGTCCCGATGGCTCTTTTGGTTGAACTCGGTCACTTGGGTGCGCCCAATGTCGTAGAGAAACTTGGTTTCTTTGAGCCCTTCGGGAAACTGGTGCTTCGCCTCCGTAGCGTCGTCTTCTTCTTCGTCCGGGTGACTCGCCCGGTGCTTGGCAATACCGGTCTGCGCGATCGTATCTTCCCGGTGCAGCGTCTCGCGGTACTGCTCGGTGCGCACGTGGCTCATAAACTCGTCGCGCCGGCTCGCGTCTTTGGTGCCAAAGCCCGCCTTGCGCGTCTCTGGGGGCTGCGTTTTGAGGTACATGACCCCGTCGACGAGCGGGTCCGACGCGTACGTCTTCTTCTCGAAAAAGCCTTTGCCATCGCACGTGTCTTTGGCCGGCGCCGTCTGGAACTGCTTGCTCTTGTGTCGGTCGCTCTTGCCTACGCCAACGATGACGTGGCAGCCTCTCGTGCAATGACAGAGTACCTTCAATGATGTGCGGGTCGCGGTACGGGTCGCCAATGCTCAGGTAGCTCTTGGCGATGTTCTTATTGAGCTCCTTCGAGCGGTACATGCTGTATGAATGTGCTCTCGGGTAGCGATTACGGAATGGAGAGCGCAACGATATCGCCACGGCCCTAATTTTAGCGCCTCACCAACGCCAGACCGAGCCAATCAGCCGGCCAACAATATAAAGCCGATCTTACCGTCCAAGATGACGTCCCCGGGATAGCTCATTGTACCCTGCGTAAAGAAACTGCGATAGCCATGTGCCATGGTGATGGCTTCTCGATGAATCGATCGGCAACTAGCGTTAGCGTATTTTCGAGCTCTCGGAAAAACGCGATATTTCCTGCTACAACATTAGCTAGGGTAGGCTAGTAGGCTCCTGTTCCTAGTCGTTGAAGTGAATGGCTGCTCGTCGGTGCATTCCTTGCTCGCATACTCGAGCGTTTGGCCGTTGGACACGAAGGCCAACGACGCGCCGTACATTGTGTGTACGAGACGTACATCATTGTACGTACGCTCGTACTGGTACGTCGAAACAGGCGCTGCCCTGTGATTGGCCCTTTTTAGAGGCAAATTGTTGCAAGTCGGCCGCAATCCGTCATCAGCATCAGCATGTTCATCGTCGTCGGCTCTGGGAGCAACCCGTACGTCGTCGGCCTCATCATCGCGGTGCAGCTGCTGCCCGGGCTTCTAGGCCGCGGGATGCTTCCGATCTCGGGCGAGACCTTGGTGCTACTGGGCCTCGTCGTGTATGCGATGTATCATCTCTACGTCCACCGTGACGTCATCCGCGCCGACGGCCTCGCTGGGTTTGTCTCGACGCTCTTTGGCCCGCCGGCCGAGGCCGAGCCGAGCACCGACACGGAGCGCTACAACCACATCATCAAGACGATCTCAGGCCTGCCCACGGAAGAGTTCAAGCCGCTCGCGCACATTGGCATCCACGAGCTCAAAGCGCGCCTGCGCCTCCGCGGCGTCGACACAAAAGGCGTGCTGGAGAAGGACGAGCTGGTCCAGAAGCTGCATGATTTTCGCGGTGGCCCGAGCGAGTCGTGCTGCATTTGCTGCGAAGACTACGTCGAGGGCGACGTCCTCCGGCTCCTCTCCAAGTGCAAGCACGACTTTCACCTCGAGTGCCTCGACAAGTGGGCGCTCACGCTGGCCAATTCGACGCGGGACCCGTCCTGCCCGCTCTGCAACCAGTCTCTCGAGTAAGAGGTTCATGTCGATAACACGTTTTTATATGTCTTTGAATATGTACGAGTGAATTACGCAGCAAGAGAAGAGTATATTTTGTAGTATATCGTCGCCATACACGTCTACTACGGCGAGAGCACTTTCAAGTCCTCGTAGCACTGCGCTTCGAGAGCCAGAAGCGCCTGTTCAATGCGACGGGTAATGTCTGAGTACAGCGCATGCTCGGACGTCTGGGACACCCATAAGTCCGGGCTCTAGTGATTCATCGATACATCATCAACATGCCATGAGAAAATGGAGTTTGGGACGTACCTCGGCGCCTTGGACGCGGTCTTTTGCGTATTTTTCAAAGAGGTCGTCAAAGTAGATTGGCTCGCCGACGCGCACATGCACATGGTTGCCCGTGGTCGGGATCATGCTCTTGAGCTTGTGGTTGGCGTTCTGCGGCATAACCTAATACAATAACATTGCGATACATTCGTCATTGCCAGCATCGTCGACGTACGGCATCCAGACCGAGATGGTAGATCGGTACGACGATCGGCGTCTCTTCTGCGCGAGCAATGAGCTTCCCGACACCCCACTTGAGCCCTCCGATCTTAGTTTGCATTGGCTCGTCGCGCTGCCCAAGATCTACACACGCACATACATGCTGAGCTGGCGACGACAACGAAATGAACGTACGGCCGCCTTGGACGATTTTGCCTTCGGGGAAGACATGGACCCACTCGCCCATCTGCACTTTCTTGAAGAGATCGTGGAGCATGGGGTGGTCAATGCCCGCACCGCGCTTGATCGGCAGTGTCTTGGAGCCGTAAAAGACCGCCGAGAGCAATGGGCCCTTGGTGTAGCAATACTCTTGGCTACACAGCCCCCAGCGCGAGACCCGAGGATTCGCACAGGCCCACGGCAGCATGCGTGCAAAGAGCGCCGGATCGTCGACCGTCGATGAGTGGTTCGTCACTGTAATGAGCGACCGGTGGCGCGGGCGCGCTAAGATCCACTTGGCGAGCGCGTCTTCGTTCTGCATTGAGAACGAGTTCAGAGCGCCAAGGTACACCTTGGCGACGAGCGTTGCGGGATAGAAGAGAAAGGTAGAGCGGGCTGCGCTGTAAAACACGGCGGGCAGGCGGTCGCGGGTCGCGACGTGCTGGGCGTGCTTGGCGAGGTAGTCAGGGCTGCCATCGTCGGCCGGCGGCGCGTCCAGGCAGAGGCCGGCGACGCCGACAGCGACTGTGGCGCCGGCGCCAAGACCGGCGAGCTGCACCGCGCGTCGGAGAGCCATCGATCGACGCAAAAAAAAAGCTCGTTCGAGATGCAATTCCGCGGACGCGATTGGCTCAGCCACCAGGTGGTTGCATAAAATGCAACGTCCCGCATCTATCTTGGCATTTGTATGGAATTTAAATAGAATTGGATTCTATTGCGTAAACAACGGCTGGGATATGCCCGCGCGGTGGTATTTCTAAACGGTAAAAATGGTCGCTCGAAACACCGCATCTGTGTTTTCATAACCGACAGCACCCGGCGCAACTCGATTTTGGCAAGGGATTGAGACCTCCTTTCCCACAAGCTCTGCTGTATCTTACTCGTATCGCGATGCGACGCGGCGCAAGGGTGCTTTGCACGACGTACAAGCCGTTGAACGACCGTATCTGGCGTCGACACCACAGCAGCAGGCTCGCGAAGGATGCGATGCCATTGGCCAAAACAGCATATCCCGATGACCAATCCAAACGTGCCATATACAAAGCACTTGGATTTTGTATGTCGACGTGGCCGTGGACTTCAACAGAGCAGCCAATCATAGCAAAGCGACAACAGCCAATTCATTTGTTCATTTTGACACGATGGTCGCACGCAAACGCAAGCCCGCGGCGGCGCACGACGACGCCCCGACGATGCAGCGCAGAGCGCCGCTCAACTCTGATAGCCCGCTGGATGCGGTACGGCTCGAGTTCAAGGCCATCGCAGAGAGCATCGAGGTCGAAGGCAAGGACGCCACGCGGGCTCGAAGGGTTGCATGGACAGCAATCCTCTCACGCTGCCAGGCAACCAGGCGCTGATTGCACGCGCGCAAGCCGCCGTCGCCTCGTGGACGTCGTCGCCAAAAAAGCTCGTGTTCCAGACGCAATACGACTATGCCGAGTCGTTCTGCCAGCTGCAAGGCCGGGACAGCGTCTTGGCCTCGGTGCTGCACGCGACGGATCTTTTGGACGTGTACGTGGTCAAGGTTGAGATGGTGCGCGAAGGACGCTGTCGCATGTCGCCGGCGCAGCTGCATCGGAACCGCGCGCGGCTTCACCGGTACTCGTACGACGACTACGACCACGGAAACGACTGGCCCAACTACGCATCGATCGACGACGTTGCGACCGAGACGGTTGCTGCGAAAAGCTGGAGTGACGCGCACAACAACGACGTTGAATTCAAGATCGAGTTGGACTTGTCGACCGAACTCGTCCACGGCGGAAATCTCTTTGCCGACACAAGTAGCCCAAACGAACACATGTACCGCGACTGGGCCAAGGCCAAGGAGCCGAACGTCGAGATGACCTTTCGCCGCTGCGTCCTTGTCGTGTGGCCGCAAAGCCGGGCCTTTGTTGCCGCGGGTTTCAAGCCCAACCTCGCGCGCGACGTCGCAGCGGCCGCCGCTGGCGACAAGGCCGGCGCCACCGCGACGCTTTGCAGCATGGCGACGAGCGCGACGTCCATCTTGTCAACCGAGCTTGTGAGCGCGCTTGAGCTTGCGACGACGGTCGGCGCCAGCGACGTGGCTATCTCGCTCTGTCGTCTCTGGGCTGCGACGCCTCAGCCGCGTGAGCACGCGTGGAAATCACCCAAGGAGCTCGCTTTGGTCTCGGCGCTGGCCAAAGCACTGCACGCGTTGGGCGCTGGTCTTTTGGACGTTGTGATGACCGACATCTTGCCCAAGCTCCGAAAATGCGATGCTGCACGCCTTGCGACCGAGTACCCACCAGGCGCCCACGCCATTGTGTCAGCGTTGCTGGCAGGCGACTTGTACAACTTGACCGACACGCTCTCCGTGCTCTACAGCCTCTTTCGGTACGTATCCTCGACGACGATGCGCTGCTGCAGTCGCTGTTGGCGAAAATGTGCGCGACCTCGATGCCGTGGCATTTGTCGTTCGCCAAGCTCGCGATGGCCGACCCGACGGATATCACATGTCCGCTTGTGGTACGGCTCTTGCGCCGCACCGATGCCGACGCTGAGCAGCTTCAGGAGATTGCTACCATCGTGCACACGACTCTCCAACTGCCCGGGATGGCGCCACTCGTTGTCGACACCGTGCTCGAAACGTGCACCCACGTGCAGGACGCACTTTTGCCGAGTCTGCTCTCGCGTTTGGAGCGCGAGGCCGTCACTGAGCACACGCGCCGGCTGATTCAACACCGACTGAGCTTGCTTCCATCGCTCGAGGCAGGTCCGCCAGACACAGGAACGTCGTGGTGTCAACCCTACGCGACGCTGCCGACGCATCCGCACGTGCAAGCGTTCCTTCGCGGTCCGCTGCAGACACTGAGCCACAAGGGCTGCAATGGCATTGTCGGCGCCAGAGAGTTTGCGACCGAGCACTTTACATGTGACGAAAGCTACCACGGGACGACGCGTGCGAGTGCGACCGCTGTCGCCTCGGGCTCGGGCGCCAGGACGCGCGTCGATATCACCAAGACGGATGCGTTCCGACCCAAGGTGCTGCAGGAGTGGAAGCGCTACTGCGACGAAGCGGCCACGCTACGCGCGACCTTTCGTATCTAGTTGTCTAGCATCGTAAGACGATAGATATGTAAACTACTAGTACATGCTAATATACAAGAAAGTGTGGTCTTCTCAAGCATGGAGCGGCTTGCCGCGACGTCCGCCATGGCATGTTGTGATCCTGTGTCGTACCTTGTTTGCTGTGGCTCACTCCCAACAACCAAGTGCTGACGCCAACCCCCGCGCACTCAGGCATAGCGCTGCGTGGCGTCGGGATCGGTGGTGGCACGGGCTTGGTTGCGCGGGTGCGGCTTGACATGCTTCGGCGTCGCTGCGAGAGCCAATCAAATGACACCGACGCCATTTTGTAGCCAATCAACAATAGCGAATCCTTGGGCGGAGCAAACTCGATAAAGCGTCAAGATGACCACGCAGGATGAGAGCGACGACGAGCCTCGGCGCGGGCATAACGACTGTCGCAACAGCCCTGCTAGCAAGCTCGAGCGCGCTTTTCGCTCGATCCTGCAGAGCATCGCCGACGACACCAAGGACATTGCGCTCGGCGCGCGGCTCGGACCCGACTGTCAAGCCAAGGTCGAGGTTGACGGCGTCGGGCGCATTGCGCTGCCGCTGTGCCCAGAGCAAGTCGCGACTGTCCGGTCGTCGCTTTCAGCACCGTCTCGTCCCGGTCATGCCCTCGTGGTCGATGGATCGCGCGTGCAGACGTCGCCGTCGTGGCCAGGCACGATCGGCCTCTTGGCGACAAAGGCGTGCACATCCCTCGGGCTTCGCTTCGACGTTGAGACGCAATTCAAGGGCCTCGTCATCCAAGCAGCGGGCGATGCACCCGCGCCATTGGACACGCCTCTCGGCCACTGCGCCACGCTGGTTGTGCAGCTGCCCGCCATCCATTCAGGCGGCGGCCTCCATGTCGCTTCGGGTGACCGGACGGCGCAGCTGGTGTTTGACGGCCCCGACACGGCCGACGAAAGCTACTACACGGTGGTCCTTCGCCAAGCAACGTGCGACGAGGCGCCTATCACGTCCGGGCACAAGCTGTCGCTTGTCTATCACATTGTCCGAGCGGGCAACGTTGTGACGCCGACGACCGAGGTGCTTGTGACGCAGGCGCGTGCGGCCGTCGCCACGTGGGCACCGCGTACACCGGAGAAGCTCGTGTTTCCGCTCGATTTCGACTACGATTTCGAGTCCGAGACGGCGTCGTTTGCGCTGCTCCAAGGTCGGGACAAGGCGCTGGCCGACTTGCTCGTGGCGACCGACGCCGTCGACCTGCACCTTGCCACCGTCGTGCAAAGCGTCCTCGGCGAGGCGACCAACGTCAAGCCGCCGCGCCGTCTGTTTAACCCTCGCTCGTGGGGGTTAAAGCGCCGGCGGTACGAATCCGACTCGGACGACTCGGAGGACGACGGCGAGAACGCGATCATGGACGACATTTTTGAAACCTCGTACGACATGACCCACTGGATCAACGAACGCAACGAGCGCGCCTCGTTGGAGCTCGATCTCGAGCCCGAGACGGAAGTCGTCCTCTGCGATGTCCAAGGCGACATGTTTGCCGGGAAGGAGCCGGTTGAACGCGACTATATGGGCTGGCAAGGCTTTGATCAACCCAACTTGACCGAGACGTTCGAGTGTGCCGTGCTCGTGGCCTGGCCGCGCTCGCAAACGCTCTCGATTGCAGGTCCACGTGCCGTGCTGTCGCGCGCGCAATCGCAAGTCGCAGCGAGCGATACCATTGGTGCCCGGGCGACGCTTGATCTACTGACAGAGTCACCGCTCTTGACTGCCGACCTCACGACAGCCCTCCGCATGGCGACGACCCTTGGCGCCGACGACAAGGCCACGACCTTGGTTCGTATGTGGGCGCCGACAGCGCCCAGAGGCTCTGTTGACTACGCCGTCTTGGTCGATGCACTTGGCGCGATGTTTGCGGCGTTTCCGCAGCTTGCAACGATGCTTCTCCCCGTGGTGTTGCCGACACTCTGTGGTGACAGCGCGATTGCCCTTGCTGTCGCCTGCCCTCACGACCTTGACGTCATTTTGTCGTCGATCTCGGGTTCGTTTTCGTTTTCGGGTTTCCGAATGCTCGATACGATCGTCGTTGCGGACCCCTCGCGACGGGAAGCCGCGCGCCTCGTCCAGCTCTTTCAACCCAAAGCCCACGCATTTTCCGACCATGTTGACGCCGCCAATGACGCGCTCTCAAGCCCGTCAGTCGCCTCGACGACGATCCTCACAAGCCTTGTGACGCGTCCGACACGGCCGGCATCCACACGACGTGCAAAGCGTCGCCGACATTGCCGTTGCCGCTTTGGCGCAGCCCGACATCAACCTGGCGGTGGCCAATGCGATCGTGGCCGCCACGACGTCGGTGCACGATGCGCTCTTGCCAAAGGTACTGGCCGGCGCTCGCCACTGCGCGACGACCAATGCCTACCGCTGTCTTGCCTACCACCGCCTGTCGTTGCTGCCAGTGGACGGGACGCCGCCGCCGGTGCCGACGCATGTCCAGTCGCAGGCGACAATGCCGTCGCACCCCCACGTGCAGGCTTTTCTACGCGGGCCGGCGCCGACGATGCAGGTGCGCGGATTCACAGGCATTCGCCAAGCGCGCGAGTTTGCCGCCGCATGGTTCCGCACGGATGGCAAGTACGACGCGCGTTCCCACGCGAGTGCGCTCCCGGTGGTCTCGGGCGCCGGCAAGACCTCGCTCGTGACGCTCACCAAGACGACGGACTACTTCAACGCGGTCGTTGCCAGCTGGGCGACCCAGCGCGACGAAGCCATCGCACTCCGATCGCTGCTGCGGGCATCGTAGCTACAACCCCTGCTACAACCCATCTAAGAGCCTTTCAATAGATTAAACGAGTTGCGTGTACTAGTAGTGGCTAGACCGACTGCATGCTTTAGTCGCTGTTTTAGAACCGAACTAAGACTCGGATGTAGGCGCAGCCCAGCGCATTCCGGTGCGTCAGAGGAGCTATCGATAGCAGTCAT